CGTCCTGACTCTGGCTCGTCGAGGTTTCGGCAGAAGCAAGGGATGCTAGTTCTGTGTTCAAAGCCTGCACAACCCAAGGGGCATCACCCAGCATGGTGTCCGGAAATTGTAGGGCGATCCTTTTCCACCGGTCGGCGCGGATCTCGCGCGCTGTCCGAGCAATTTCATAGATGTCGAGCAGCTCGTCGTGCGATCGTCGTTGCGCTTGGGCCTCGTTCTCGGCTGCCGAGACTTCGGGCTCGATGTGTTCGAAAAGATGATCCGCTGGCGTCGAAAGCGCAGGAGCTGCGCTGAGATCGGTAGCCATGGCCGTCGTCGTCGTTGTCGTCGTCGTCGCCGTCGTTCGATCTGGTTTAGCCTTGTCCGAAGGAAGTTTGAAGGTGGAAGAATTTGCCCCGCAGCTGCCCCGCCATCATTGCGGTGACGTTGGGTCGGCTCAAGGTCCCAGGGAACTTTTTAGTGGGGCCACACGACTTGATAAGATAACGGACGCCCGTCGGAAGATCAAGACGCGACTCATGCGGGTTACTACTGCCTTCAACTTCCATTAATTCTGATTAAAACATGCGTACAGATGTGATACCCCGACAAACATCCTATTTCAGTGATTAGCTCGACCTTCGCTACTTCATCAGATCTTATCTGTATCTGGGCTCAGGCGCATCAGAACAAATGATAAGCGGCCCTTGGATGGGCTGATGATTTTCGGTGGTTGGAAGCGCCCAATTTTCCAACGACTTTTATAATTACCTAATTACGTATGAATTTATGTATCTGAGAAACAGCATCTTCTTACTAATTAAAAAACAGAATTACCACCGTATTTCTTTTCCCGGCCTTGACTCCTGGACGATGCATAAACAGCTAACTAAACCACAGCAACAGGATAGACTCTCTGTCCCACCCTAAATATTAACAACCCGAAGGAATTAATTACCAAAACATGACCTAGTCAAAGCTCAAAATCTCTTGCGCGGATCCCATCCAACAGCCAGAACGCGTGCCGCCGTGTAGCACGACAGGGCCACGGTGTACGCGACTCCAGAAAAGATAATGACAGCTCGCCATCCTGTCTCTCCCGTCCCGACGTCCAGCAACGCACCTCCGATCGGCACGCTGCTGAGCGTCCCAAAGCTAGCCACCATCATAGCCGTCGAGTAGAATCGTCCGAACTGGCGATGGTCAAACAGCTGCCCAAGACAGACGGGAATCAGGCCCAGGTTGCTCCCGCTCGCGAATCCGAACAGCACGGCGTACGCGATCAGCATGGACGGCGACGAACCCGCCGGAAGCCACAGAGCGAGAACCGTGATGACGCACATCGAGATGGTGCCGATGATGACGTTGAACCGCCCAAACTTGTCCGCCAGCAGGCCGGGAACCACTCGTCCGACGACGGAGCCGGCGTTGAGATACGACAGCAGCACATAACTGGCCGTCGCGTCCTGGCCGTGCGCCGCCGCGTACGAGACCACAAAGGTCAGCGGCACGAAGAGGCCCCACTCCATGAAGAAGATGCCGACCGACGAGAAGAGGAACCGGGGATCCTTGAAGACGGTCAGGTCGGGCAGGACCGACAGGAGTCTTGAACAGCCGCGGGCAGCGGGACGCTCAGCCGGCGGTGGCAGTCTCGTGCGGATGAAGAGGTTCGCCGGGATGGCGAGGCCGATCATGATGAAGCCGAGGATGCGGCAGCTCCAAACGAATCCGACTTTTGGGAACAGATACTGCAGCAGGATGGGGTAGACGATGCCGCCGATTCCACCCGAGGTGGTGGCTATGCCGGTGGCCAGGCCACGACGCTCGTTGAAGTAGTGTGCGATTGTTCCGTAAGCCGGGGAGTTGAGCAGCGCGCCGCCGAGACCGCCCATCACCGAATATGTCAGGATGATTTGGTAGTACGCTTTTTGACAAACTTTGTCAGTCTACTATCAAAATCAAGACTTTTTAGGAAGGGTGTTAAACTTACTTTTACACTCGGCCAGGAGGAAGAGACTGGCAACAACAGTTAGGCTCCCAGTTGCGACTAGAAGACGAGAACCGTGTTTGTCGAAGATGGGGCCGACCTGGATGCCGACGAAGAAGACGATGAACAGGTATAAACTGAAGATCCAGCCGATCTCGGACGGGCTGTTGTCGACGAGCTGGTTGGTCGAAAAGTACGACTCGAACACGGCCGCAGAGTTAATGAGTCCAAAGACTGAGCTCATAGCACAGAAGGACCCCAACACTACGAGCCATGCCTGCAGCCCGCCCTCGGGGAAGGTTATAGTGGCCTCGGTCGAGGTCCGGTTGAGAGGTGACCCAGTCGCATCATAGCCGCGGTTGGAGTCGCTATCGGCCAGATTGTCTTGGCCTCCTCCTTTCTCGAAGTCTGGCGACGTGAAGGTCTCTTCAGATGAGCTCAACTCCTGTTTTTCCTTGTTGATGGAGTGTCGAGCTGATTTGACTGACTCGCTGCTATCAATGACTAGCGATCGACGCTCATTCTGCCGCACATCATCACCCCCTGGATTAATACCCCGACTCGATGAGGCCATTGATATAGGAACAAGACAGGGAAAACAAGACACAAATGAAAGCGGCGATATTTCAAATCAGGTTATTTCTGACAAAGTCAAAGGACAGTTCGCCAAAATTCCACTTCTTGGTCCAACGTTCAAAGGAGACTGGAACAGAGCAAACTTTCCAGTTGCCAACTTACTCGCTAGACATTGATTTTTCCAAGCGGGTTATGCAATCAGGAAAAGCTGTGTCGTCTACCTCTGCGATGGATAATAGGAGGTTTGTGCCAAGAACTAAAGAAAATTCCAGCACAAATGGAAAATACGTGGGGAAGGAGGCGAGAGAGTGATCCCGCATGACCCACTCCATGTTCACTCTTCGCCGTTCTCCGCAGCGGTCCATCGGCTCTATCCCAATTCTTAATTCGACCTAAGCTCTTTCGGAGGATTTTCCTGAGCGGTTAGGGCTCCACAACCGGGGATCTCCTAGCCGTTGATCCATGAAAAGGGGGGGACTAAAACAAATACTTTGACGTAATAAACGAATCGACTGCAACAGGTCTATGCATAGGTACGAATTTGCTGGGTGCTTTAACCAAAGGTGAGCTATAAGCTTGGCGATCTTGATATACGATAATAATGGTTCTATAGAATCGTTGAGGTGTTACGCACAGAACGATCGCTCGTGGGTGTGCACGAGCCTACCCACTTATATACCGTCACAGGAGGGGTTTTTGCACCGCTTCCTTCTCTCCCTTGAGATCTTGGCATGGGTCATGATCCGAGGCTTGATCTTCCCGGGACACCGCTCTTCGGCAGTCGGGGGCTCCATCTTCAGGGCATGCATCAAGGAACAGAGCCCGCGAAAATAGTCCTCAGACATGGTCGACACTGGGTCGCCTGTGTGGTAGACGAGATGTAGCCACAGCTCACACAACTGGCCGTGACGGATGGCGGAGTCGACAAGTCGGGCAACTTAGAAGGGATTAATGAACAGTCTGGATGGAGAAGGAATAGACATACCAGTTTTCCACTTGGACTCCTGCCGCCATTCCGTATACGCCGAGATGGCACTCCACGCCAAGAAAGCGATTCCCAGCCCTGCCTGGATGCCATTTGACCACTGACGGCTCTGGAGTTTCTGCAACACGTCTGCTCGTTCCTTCGTCGCTTGGGTCTCACCGGGAGTCTCCTTGATGAAGCCCGGCGTCTTTTTAAAAGCCTCCCACGCCGAGTCTCCAGCCGACCGCACGGGCGAGTTCTGAACTGCGGTGATGGCCGACGAATAGATCGAGAAGTTGTAGGCGCTCGTGGCAGTGGTGAGACCCGAGGCGATAGCCTTTGCGGCATCGGAGCGGCGGGTCGACAGGAAGGCGTCCACCGCCAGCTCGCACACGGTCACCGTCTCGAAGCCGGCAGCGAAGAGAGCCATGAGGTTGTTGAGGACCTCGCCGTGGAGGTTGATGCGCTCGCTCGGGGTAGCTTCATCAAGCTCGTAGTGTTAGAGAAATTGCAGGTGTACATAATAACAAGCGTGGCCTCCCGTGCGCGGTGAGTAATAAGGGGTTGGCGTTCGTGTTGCCGATGGCGGTGCCATGCCCTTTCAAGAAGGTCATTATTTCCTGACAGTGAACTCGACGGTGGTGCGCGTGTGACGACGTGTGGGGTGGTAGGCGATCTGTTTGGCAAACCCCAGCGACGGGTGCGGGATGATTAGGATCTACCGTCAATGATATAATTCAGGCGATGGATCGAGAGAGGTACTTCTGAGTGGGGGCACTGGGCGAAGGCTGGCTAATCAAGCGTACGCGTACATGCCTTTCGTACATTTCCTTGCTGGGTTGAAATAAATCCTGTGAGTGTCCGGGGGTGGTTAAGATCATGCATATGGGCTGAAGTGTGTGAATAGCATGATTGGATGGTGAAACTTTGTAAGACTGCCTAAGGTACTCAACTAACGAGGCGTTTTCTTGCACGCCATCTACAACCTGTTCGTGCATGGGTCTGATGGGACCGCCGTAATCTTGCTCGCATATTGATGCGGGCTGGGCCAAAGTGCAGCTTCGACTGCGTTTGTGGCAGACATGTTAAGCTTGGAGGCAGATTTTTGGACAAGGCTCTCCGGTTTGCTTTTAAAACAGGACATTGATCGAGCGAGACACGTGAGTCCTGTGAAAGCAACTCGCATCTAAATCTGATACATCTAAATCTGATACACTTTCATATACTTTCTACAGCTTCAGCTCTTTCTACTACGTTGTTTGTTGTTAAAAGCTCTGCAGACCTAGCGAAGCTTAACTTACGACTAATGTTTCAGCTTTTTGCAATAATAAGAATTGTCTTATCCTGCTTATACCTAGACCGGTTGACACATGCTCGGTCCACAAGAACACAATGCAGTGGATCTGTCCTGACTCGGGGCTCGCTTTCTCTCCACCAAGGACCCTACGCCCTGGAAATATTACTCAAAAGCCTGGCAACGTTCTCACATGAGAAGGGTGACTAGTCTAGTGGTCAGGACGGTTCGTTGTGGTCGACATCATCATCAACCACCATCCGAACAAACCCCGGTTCGATTCCGGGGTCGCCCAGCTTTTGTGTTTTGATGTCAACTACCTACCTGGTTGGTTGGTATCTTCTCTCGTCTTCTTTTAACTTTCGACTATCCCAAACCTTCCTGATTGTCTAAAGATCCGGTGCAACAAGCAACAATTCCATCGGGTGACTAGTCTAGTGGTCAGGACGGTTCGTTGTGGCTTGCTTCTGCTTTCCGAACAAACCCCGGTTCGATTCCGGGGTCGCCCAAGCCTTTTGTCCGTTTCAAGGCTTTTTTTCAACCTTTTTTTGGGTAGGTCAACAACAACTTGATTGAGATGTACGTTTCGGCTCGAACGGTTTAGTTGGCATGGCGTGCCCCTAATAAGTTGGCATGGCGTGCCCCTAATCGCTTGGCTTGGCATTAGGCAACTCGTCCGTCGACGGACGAACAAAGGCTCCATCCATCAAGGCTACCAAGTGCTTGGTCATTGGCGGCCGCGTGGAGGCCAACGTCGGTCGCCAGGATTACCGAGCAACGAAATCAAATGGCCCTATCCGCAATTATTCCGTATACGTATAGTTGCATCACAGCAATTCGGCCGAATGGAGATGCCGATTATCGATGCCGCGCAGACGCAGCTGACAAAGCTCAGCCGCCTGACACCAAAACACTGCAAGTATGTGCCTTGTAGTGAGTGGCACGACATTCTTGCTCTGAAACATGGCATATTGCTCGAAATTGCGTATAAAGATGGCGAGCCCGTCTCCTGGGCCTGTATCCTCATCCACAACGACAATCACCAGACATCACCAGACATCACCAGACATCACGCCATCCGCTTATAACACACAGTAAAAAAAAAGAGAACACTCAACACACAATGACTATCAGGACAGTCGCAGTCATCGGCGTGAGTCCATCCGTGTGACTTTAGCCCGCACTACATTGCACGGTATTCTCACATCATGACCCTCCTCGCAGGCCTCTGGCAACGTCGGCGCACCCACAGTCAAAGCCCTCCTCTCTGCCGGCTTCAAAGTCACGGCAGTCACCCGGGAATCTTCCAACTCGACATTTCCCAACGAGGTCGAGGTTCGGAAAGCCGACCTTACCTCGGTCGAATCCCTCACCAAGGCCTTTGCCGGCCAGGATGCTGTTGTAGTCGCCGTCGCAACTGAGGCGGTCGGAGGACAGGACGTCTTCACCGATGCGGCGATAGTGGCAGGCGTAAAGCGCATCATCCCGTCGGAATTCGGCCACAATACCCGCCCCGGAAAGATGTCGTATCCCCCGCTCGCTGCGCTGCTTGCCGCCAAGACGAAGGCGGTCGACTACATCATCGAGAAGACAAAGTCGCACCCCGAGCTCACGTGGACTGGAATCGCGACTGATCCGTTCTTTGACTGGGTATGTATCTAAATCTTCTCACTGCTTCGGTGGCTACCTAGGTAGGCACCAAGACCTGACTGACCTGCTGCTGCCCACATAGTGCCTCGACCTCGGCATCTTTGGAATCGACCTCAAGAACAAGACCATGCGGATCTTGGACTCGGGCAACGAACCCGTCTCCTCCTCGTCGTTGGCCTTCGTCGCCGCCTCTGTCGTTGCCGTGCTGCAGCACGAGAAGGAGACGGCCAACAAGTACCTCAACGTCGCCGAGTTCACCGTGACGCAGAACGAGGTCCTCAAGATCTTTGAGGAGGAGACGGGCGCGAAGTTCACCGTCACGCACGGCAAGACGGCCGACCTCGAGAAGCTTGGGCAGGAGAAGCTCGCGAGACACGACTACAGCGCGTTTGTCGAGTTTTTGCTGGCGTATAACTTCCACGATGGACGAGGCCATGCTGTCAAGCCCGAAGATACGGCCAATGACTTGTTGGGGCTGAAGCGGGGGAATCTGAGGGAGGCGTTGAGGGAGTATATCAAGGCCAAAACGGTGCTTAATTAGGCGAGATAGGGAGTCGGCTGTTGAGTTGATCATAGACGTATCATAACCAGTGTCAGATATACGCACTCTCGTTATTGAAATGGCAAAGGCTTGTTAGGTGTGATAACCACAACACAGTGAGAGAGAGCCTTTCAAGATTTGCCGGAAGAAATGAAGTCAACCAGACCCCGCACAGTTGCGAACAACACACTTTATCCGCCCGTCCTCTTCAGATAACCACCCTATTCTACATCAGTATTGACTAGGTAGGTAAGTGATCACAGTCCATGTCACTCATCCTGCCCCCTTACTACCAATCCAATTTCCATTGCGCTCGGCCTCACTGTACCACACCTCTCTCCCCCAAACCCACGACAATGCCCTCCTCCCCGAGTCCCGACCTCACCAAGGGCTTCACAAGCGAAGCATACGTCGCCCTCTCCCCAACCACCCCCATCACACTCCAGAGCATAACCTACGGCCCCATTGCCGCAGGCGAAATCGTGCTCTCAACCGCCGCCGTCTCGGTCTGCGCCTCGGACCTCAAAGCGGCCGCCGGCAAGTTCCACGGCTGCAGCCCGCCCATGATCCTCGGCCACGAGTGCGCCGGCACCATTCTGGGTGTCGGCGTGTCCGTAACCAGCCAGCATCTCAAGCCGGGCGACAAAGTCGTCCTGTCATACGACAGCTGCCGGTCCTGCGTGGAATGCCTGGCCGGCGCGAGCGCGTATTGTCATGACTTGGTGAAACTGAATCTTTCTGGCCTGAGACAGGGGGTTGACGGATCGAGGGCCACTGCTTTTTGTACTGCTGCTTCCGGGGAGCCCATCAAAGGTCATTTCTTCGGACAGAGCAGTATGGGACGCACGATCGTCGCGCGGGCCAATTGTGTTGCGGTCAAGTTACCCGACGATACGACACCCGACCAGATGCGGGTGTTTGCGAGTCTCGGGTGCGGGATCCAGACCGGTGCTGGGGCGATCCTGAACGTGGCGCGCCCCGAGCCGAACAGTAGCATCTGTATCTTTGGGGCCGGGTCGGTCGGCCTCGCGGCGTGTCTTGCTGCCAATTTGACTTCCCCCAAGAGCTTGGTCGTGGTGGATAACTCGGCAGCTAAGTTGGGCATGTTGCCTGATTGCGTTAGAGCGGCTGTCACAGATTTGGTGGACTCGTCGGTGTTGATGGAAGAGCAGCTGGTGGAGAGGCTGAAGGGGTTGACTTCTTCTGATGGGGGGCTTGGGGGGTTCGATTATGTGCTTGACTGTGTGGGGAGGGGAGAACTGGCCAAACTGGGTCATAGGGTTCTCAGGCCTAGGGGGATGCTCATCGCCGTGGGAGGCTCCCCGGATATGGCGCTGCAGGTGACGCTGTCGCAGCATCTGACCAAGGGAGTGATGTTTAGGGGTACACATCAGGGGGACTCGGTTCCTTCGATAGTAGGTTTTTCGTTTTACCGTTAGCCGTATCGGATGCCGTGGTCGGGCTTCATTGCTAACATGTCGGCCAATTATAGTCGATTCCGCTCATGATAGATCTCTGGCGTCAAGGTTTGTGCCGGCCCAAACCACCTCCTCCGTCGTTCAGGCTAAGGGGCACAGTGCTAACATGTCGGTCTAATGCCGACAGGCAAGTTCCCGTTCGACAAGTTGCTCTCGTTTTACGAGTTTGACGCGCTGGACAAAGCAATGGAGGATCTGAAACAGGGCAAGGTCATTAAACCCGTCCTGGTCAACAACCAGTGGCATGATGGAGCAGCCCAAGAGGACTGAATCTGGCAGAACTGAGAAGAAGTTTTCAGTGTAGTACAATATGTATGAGTTAGCCAGTCACTCCAATGCCAGTCTCCGTGGCCAATGAGGACGAGAAGAATTGGAGGGCCTCCCGCATGAAGCTCTGCCACGCAACAAACAGCCTCTGCAACCAACCACGCTCAGGCCTGTGCTTCGACCGCCTGCAGTTGCTTGTTTGCCTGATTGCCCTCTTTGATGAGAGACTAACGAGGACGACAGAGATAAATTTCCAGGCTCAGGTCCTGCTCCCAGCTTCGACCACGACTTTCTTTTCATTCAGCTGAATTCTTTTGGATAGGGGTTCACTCACGGCTCTCCAACCTCACTGCCTCCCATTAGACTGCATCAGCAAACACAAGGCGTGGTATTCCTTCCTTCTGTGAGTTTGTCACTGCTCGGATTAGCATCGGCATCACTGACAGTCCATAGATACCTCTAGCTCCCCTGTGCTCCATCTTACCGCCATCTGCAATCATGTCGTCGATCGTAGAACAAGACGCAAACATCAACGCGAGTGCTCGTGCTCGACGCTCGGGCTATGAAGATCGAGTCAACGATCATCTCGCCGGCCCGCCGTGCCACTGCTGCGGCAAGGCGTCGGCCCTCTTTACTGCCCAGGTCAACAACCCGAACGGCAATGCCGGAAGGCCGTATTATCGATGTCGTTAGTGTCCCTACGACGCCCGCTGGGTGACATGGGCAGATTCGATTGGTGTGGCCGATAGCAACCCGCCTTGTGACTGTGGCAGACCGAGTCGTGTCGACTACGTTGGATCAAACAAACCTGAGAGGCGGGGGACAATGTTTCGAACCTGTGCTGCTGGGTGCTGTCGGTATTATTCGGAACAGGATGATCACGCCGACTCGGGATATGTCTCCGGCTAGACTAGGGGGCATTGTCATTCTCCGGGGAGCATGCGTGCTGAACTGGAAGGGGGGCTGACGGAGACGGAGAAGACATGGAGACGCCACCGGTGCGTCCTAACGGCATGGCGCGTAGGTACTTGGGCTATTACCGGAGATTGGTCGTATGGTGAGCTACAGATAGATACTGGAGAAAGTTTACCTCTCAGGATCGGTCCTATCATTTAGGCTTCTCGAAGAAGAATGATGGACTACGTGACATGCATTCAACCTAAAGCATCGTAATACGAAAACAGAACTTGTTTACTCCTCATGGACCTTGACAATCGGCTTCTGGGAGAACTTGCCCGCCTCGAAATCATCGATCGCCTCAATCACCTTCTCCCAGCCGACCCCGTCCAGGACCTGGTACGACTCCAGCGGCCGCAGCCCACCTGCCTCAAAATGTCCCTCAAACAGGGCAATCATCTC